GGATTGGTGGCAGGACTGACTCTATCTGCATGCTGGGATTCCTTTGAGACCTCTCACTCCTTGGAGACCCCCCTCAACTCACTGCTCTTCAATGGGCCCCTCACTGCTGGGCTCTGCCAGTTTGTGAACAGGTAGGGAGGGTCTTTGCAAATAGGAGGGAGCAGAAGAGAGGGCAGGACAGCAGATGTGCCAGGCTTTCCCAATACTTGGTCAGTTCTTACCTAGGCTTTCTCATGTATGAGATAGTACAATAGGCTAAAGGCTTTGGGCCATAAGCAGGAGTCAAGATAAACCCTGATTATACTCTTTTCCAGAAATAGAAGGACAATTGAAAACGTGGTGGATGTAGACTTTGTGCTACAGGTATAATCTTTCAACCATCCTCAGCCCCAATATTACTCTACCACTGTCTTCCTCTTCTGTTATCTTAGCCCCTCCTGCCCCTACCACATAGGCCCGCACAATCCGCCAGCTTGATGAGCGCTACACATCTATAGCCTTTGGGTATAAAGACTGTGATGACTATTACCAAGCATCAAGCCCAAGAACCAAGGTCAATGCCATCCAGATCCCTGTGCTCTGCCTCAATGCAGCAGATGACCCCTTCTCCCCAGTCCATGGTGAGTAGCTTGAATCATGAAACCTTAACCTCAGAGAAAGTGGACCATGAGGTACAGGTGGAAAAACTGGGTTCTCATTAAATACCAGGTCCCTAACCTCTTTTCTGACTCCCTCCCAGCCTTACCCCTACAGGCTGCCCAGCGCTCTCCCCAGGTTGCACTGCTCATCACAGCTCGGGGTGGCCACATCGGTTTCATGGAAGGGCTGCTGCCTTGGCAGCACTGCTACATGAACCGCCTCTTGCATCAGTATGCCAGTGCCATCTTCCAGCATCCAGCAGAGCTGACTGACCTAAAGGCACTCCCACCTTCTGGGGACATAAAGAGCTGACAAGAGTACATTTGGGATCTCAGTTCAATCTTCCCTTGTTTATTAAATATCAACTCTTCTTGCCTACTGGGCTGAGGTTCATTTTTCCCTTTCTTCAAGGCCGGGGTAGACCATCCAGGAACTTACTGCTTGTTTAGCCTGGTTGGCTTAGCACTATCCACCTGAACTCAGAGGTTGCTACCTGAGTCCTCTTTTTGCCCTTTCCTGCCTTAACAGTAGGTGCCAGGCCAGTCCTTGTCTCAATAAAGACCAGGGTTATCATTTGAAGGCTGTGAGGGGAGGAGAAACAGATTGTTTCTTTAAGAAGGACGGCAGTACCTCCAGGGTCTTCAGCATCTTCACATGTTCCTGGAGGAGGACAAGCTCAACACTGGAGCCTCTGGTAGACAGAGGGAAGGAGGCAGGTAGTATTTATGATCCAGGCTTTAGACATTAGTGTCTTGGGTGGACCCACAGGTGGTGAATCCAGGGCTCCCAGGACCCAGAATCACACAGGGCCACAACCAAGCTTTAACAGAGAAGGGCAAGCAGGGCCCATCAGTCTCATCAGAGGCAGCTTCAACTATGGATCCAAATGGAGTAATAGGAGTCCAGGCCTCTATTCTGCTCTTGAAGGTGGCAGTGTCCAGGCCCCTGATTCCCAGGGGCTAAAGAGGCTAAAGGAAACCTGGAAAGGCACTCTGGAGCAGCAGGATGGTCACAACAATAAGCCCGACACATAACAGGAGCAGCAGCCACACAGGAACACTCCCTGTGGGTGGAGGTGAGAGAAATGAGCAAAGGGGCTTCAGAGACTGAAGACCAAAACCTTCAACCTGTTAAGGAGGGGGCAGATGGATGGCTATAAACAAAGCAAACAAGCAGCTATTCTCTATGGGTGAGTTTCTGCTACAGCTAAAGGTGGGACAGGAACCCAAACCCCCAATGACTCACGCCTTGAGGGCAACAGGTGCAACTGGCAACGACTGTCCACAGCCACAGAGAACAGGGCAGTTTCATGGGACCCGAGAAGTTCTGGACCACGACCCTTCTCAGGTAGGAAGGCCACATCTGTAACCACAATGCCATGGGCCTCCCTCATGTAATAGAGGCGCTGAAGATAGGAAGAAAAATAGTGAGGGAAAGCCCAGTTAGAAGCGTTCCCTCTGGGAGACATTCTGCCCACCCCCACCAGGCTTCCCCTATGGATGGGCCAGATCCCTTCTGGCACTCAGGGTAGAGTAGCCAACAGTCTTCCCACAGGGCTATGCCAATGTCCACCCATTACCTGAAGAGAGAAAGCTATGTAGATAGCTACAGAGCCAGTGACCGTACCCAGGCCTAGGAAGGTGCCCGAATCACTGTAACAAACAACAAAAGGCTCATTATCTTCAGGAACTCAGGCAGGACTGTTCCCAAACTCCCCCAGGACCCCTCTGCCCAGCCAAGCCACCATTGTCTCATACCTGACACTGAGGCAGGAGATGACTTCATTGCCACAGGGCTTGGTACGAAGAGGCAAGAAGGAAGAACCATCCCAGGCTGTGAGGTAGCAAGGTGGGGGCTGGCGCAGCCGCTTGTGGGGGATCTGCACTGTGAAGAGCCGCAGCCCAGAAGGCTGGTCTGGAACCTGCCCAAACCTAGGAGCCAAGCAAGGGACTATTCAGCTCCTGGGTCGTCTTCTTCAGAGGTTTGTGCACTCCTGTCCCTAATCATGCTGGATGTTAACACCTGGCAAGGCCACACTTCCTCCTCCTCTCATCCTGTCCTCCAGTCTTCCCTCTCCCCCACCATAGCTAGGCTATGCCTCTTTTAGCCACCGTCAGGGTCTTCATACCTGCAGGCCTGGTAGCGGTAAGGCGTGTTAGAAAAGGTAGGTCCATTTTCTTGCCAGTGCAGCTGCATCAGTAGCTGATCCTTCTGCCACACAGAGGCCTTAAGGTCCCAGCCCACAGTTACCAACTAGTTAGGAATAAAGATTCCAGAGATGGCTAGTTAGGGATCTACTTCCTGTGCAAACAGTATAAGCACCTCCTTACTCCTTTCTGCATCCTCTTCCCACACTTCACCTCACCTTGCCATCAGGCCCCAAAGCCAGGTCTTCAATATCCCCTTCATGGGCTTTGAACTCCAGAACTTTCTCCAGGCTGGGTACCTGCAGCCAAGCCACCAACCTGATTAGGCCAGATAGCAAGAGCACTATGATCCTCACCCCTCTTCTTCAATGGCCACTCACAAGTTTCCCAGAACTCATTCAGATTTTTACAATTTTGGTCTTGTTGCAACTACCATTCATCTTCCCTAAACCCCCAAAGTCACACCTTCCAGACACGAACGAAGCCATCTGTTCCTCCAGTGGCAAGCAAGGTGTTATCATGGTTGAAACACACAACTTTCTGCAGTGGATCAGAGCCGAAGTCTGTCTGCACTGCCTGCAAATTCTCAACCTTGAGCTCTCCCCCCTCAGGATGGGTCTCAGCTCCTGATTTCTTTTCTGCTGGGGTTGCCCCCTTCCTTTGTCGAAGCCCTTGCTCCTTGGAACCTGCAACACAAACAGCTTGCCAGGATCCAGCCCTCTGTATTAAATAGAATTGGTTGCTCTCTATATGGCAAGGATTTCTACAGCTTCTAGCTGCTAACATGACCTTATTTGCAGTTTCACTTCTTTAAAGACAAAGATGAAAGTGATCTTATTCATTTAACCCTTTTTCCAAAGCTCCTCACCTGCCTTCTCTGCCTTGTTGTCTTTCTGCTTATGGACCCGGAAACGCAGGAGCTGACAGTGGGCATCCTGCCCTGCTGCAAGGATATCACCCGCCAGTGCCAAGTTCATGGTAGCCCGTGTCTCCGTGTCATGGGAGTGCAGCAGGGAAGCGCTTAGGCGCCCATTAATTTGTTCTAGCTGCAGAAAGTGCTATGAGAGAGGGAACAAGGATGGGCAAATTTCAGGGGTGCCCGGAGCACATGCAAGGCAAACTTCTCTTAGTTCTTACCCTTTTTGATCACTGCACTTTCTAGTTCACAGGGTTTTTTCGAGCTGTTTATCTTTTTTTTTTGGGGGGGGGGGCGGGCTTCCAAATTTGTATAGCAAGCAGGCTGGGATAATTATCTCCAGTTTACAGACAAACAGGGTGGAACTCCAAAAAGTGAAGGAACCGGGGCTGGGGATATAGCTCAGTTGGTAGGGTGCTTGCCTCGCAGGCACAAGACCTTGGGTTCAATCCCTAACACCACACACACACACACACACACAAACACAGAGGGAACCTAGGTAGCCTAAGGGCCAACAGCAGCGCTGGAGTCTGCTACAGGGCAGATCAACAAGAAAAAGCCCGGATAACACCCCTGGAGCCGTTCGCAAGGTGTAGCTTAGGCATTCCTGCCTACCCGGCGGGTGTGCACCTTTTACTCCTCCTTCCGAGTCTCTCAACCGCCTGCTGAGTAAAATTCTCGGTTGAAATTCGCACGGGGGTTCCCGGTATGCCGGGTTTTCCCACCGTAAATGGGCAGGACCCGAAGCTGGGGTGCGGGCCACCCCTGCGGCCCCGGAATTGTCCCCAGCCCGCGGTGTGACCCGGTCCTACTGGCCTCGCGCTCTCACCACTCCATTCTTTATGCCGGTCTTGGCAGCGCCTCCTCCGCCCGCAGCGATGAGCAGGCCCGCGCTGGGGTCTACCTGAAGCGCGTACAACGGGAACGGGGCCCGGTAAAGCTCTGGAGCCCGGCGCCGGCCCATCCCGCCCGCCGCGCGTTCACTGTCAGCCCCGAGGCACCGAGGACATGCCGCGTCCGGACTTCGGCTACTTCCCCGGCCGCTGCTGAACTTAGATCGGTCGCTGGCGGGAGGACTCCCGATCCCTTTCACACCCGCCGGGTTGCGACAACTCTAACCACCCACCACCAGCTATCTCCACTTGGGTCTGACTCTAGCTCGAAGGCGCGCACTGCGCAGGCGCCCTACCCGCGGCTTTCTCTGCGCAGGCGCACAACGTCGGTACGCGTCAGCACTAGCGGGCCGCTGAGCTACAGCAGCGGAATTCCGACACGGATCGGGTTCACCGCTTGCGGTGACCCGCCATCTTTGTGCTGGGCGCGGGAAGCAGCGGAGGCGGGCCTGGAAGAGGCTACCGAGGGTCAATAAGCCTTTAATAAACAAATCCTAGAATTACGACTCTTTACCTGAGGAGTGATCCACCGACTCATACATGCAGCTTTTATCTATTACACCAGGGAGGACGTGATTAGTCCAAGCGCACTGGCTGGAGACCGCTTGCGGCTCTTGCCTCTTATTTGAGGCGACATGGACTTGAAACGAACCTGGCTTCAAATCCCAGATTCACTTACCTCCTAATGTGTGGAAACTGTTCTCCATCCTTACCTTGTCCTATGGTTGGCAGAGTCTTCGATTCCCTTTCTCTGGGCTTCTCATTTGCACTTCTGCAGTGAAGGTGTACCCTAACAAACTTGGGGACAGCTTGGTTCCCTGGAAGGTGTCTTCCTTGCCTGACACCCCACCCTTCTGAGAGTGCCTTCGTTTTTTCTTCTATGTCAGGATCCCTGTGCTCCCCTGCGAATGAACTTTAGGAATGCCCTTCCCGGCCAAGAGAAATGGGCAGTTGCATCCTCATCTCAGAGCCCCAAGTGGAATGGGCTTGGTGACTTCATCTGTGAGGATACCAGTGTCTGGTTCCACAGAGTTGAATTAAAAGTGTGAAGGGCCTGACCGAACCCTTGTGCATCTCAGGACCTAGGGACTTTTGGGTCCCTTCCCCACCTGGGATAGGACACCCGTTGTCCTTGGCCCTTCTATTTCTTTTGACATCCCTGCTTCCTACCCTAGTCTTGTAGGGAACTGGCACCCCTGTAGCTGCAGCCACCCATTCTTTGAGCTCAGAGTTGAATTAAAAGTGTGAAGGGCCTGACCTAGCCTTTGTGCATCTCAGGACCTAGGGACTTTTGGGTCCCTTCCCCACCTGGGATAGGACACCCGTTGTCCTTGGCCCTTCTATTTCTTTTGACATCCCTGCTTCCTACCCTGGCCTTGTAGGGAACTGGCACCCCTTTCTTTGAGCTCAGGACACAAATATAAGTTTCTCAGGGTCAGGCTTTATTGGATACACTGAAGGCTGAATGGGGCTTTAGGTGCCTTGGGTCCTCTTCAGCCAGGAGACAGCAAACTCCATAAGGGGTTTCCAGGGTTCAGGGCAGGAGAACAGACCTGACCTCCAGTCAACCAGCCCTTCAGGGTGTCTCGGGGGCTCCCCGAGATCTGGGGCCTGGTGGGGAGGGTGGGGGTTTGAGGGGGTGCTCCAGGGAGCCTCTGCAGTTCTGGAACTAGGATTGTGACTTTTGGAGAACAGGCTCTGGAGAGGAAGGCCTCTTTGGGGCAGGAGGCAGCTTGGGCTTCAGGGAAGCGGTGGCCTGTTTTGGTGCCTGAGGTGGAGGCCCCGAACACCGGGTGGATCTTGGAGATGGGAGGCCTGCAGACCTGTGGCTCCCGGCCTGCGAGGGTGTGCCTGGGACTGAATTTGCCTGATTCTGAGCCGCTGGGGCTCTGAGCCGCTGAGCTGCTGGGGTCTGGGCTACTGGTGCTTGATGCGGAGGAGCCTGAGTGGCCTTGCCCTGAAGCCCTACTTCTTCCCGCCTTTTTTCTGGCAACAGATGCAAAGCCCTGGCCTGGCCCTGAGGCAGGCGGAGGCCAAAGCCGATGCCTATGCGGAGTGGCCCAGATTCCTGGCCCTGTGCACAGGGCAGTAGCTGGGGGAATGCAAGCAGCCGGGGTCCAGTCCTGTACTTGGTTTTGGGGCAAGAGGGACCGCGGAGTCGCAGGCACACCAGGCATACGGGATACTCCACAACTGGGGCCTGGCCTGTTTTGCCTAGCCACAGGTGCTGCAGAAGCAGAAGCCGAAGGTCGTGGGCGATGCGGCGGTGCCCCAGGTGGACCACCAGGGCCTGGGCCAGGGCCCCTGGGTCCCTGAACTCTGCAGGGTCTTTCTCGCTTGCCACACATCCTCCCACCACCCCAGGGGACTTGGTTTCCCTGTACTGAGGCCAGTGCCATGTCTGCTTGTTAGAGCGGACCCCTGGAGAAGGTAGGCTGGGGGAAGTGAGCGTGGAGCTAGGTAGGTCTTGCTGGCAGGAAGGAGTCTGATAACCGGAGCGGGGAGAGTTGTGTGGCTGGGAAGGAGAGGAGGAGCGGGTCAGAGGAGGAGATGGGTAGAGCTGTTGGTTGGAGGGGGAGGAGGACTGTGGAAAGGCAATAGTGCCGTAGCTCTGGTGAAAGAAAGTGGGGGAACTTGGGAGGGGAGAGGAGTAGGGGTGTGGAGCAAAGTCAGAATTTGACTCAGAAGAGTAGGAATGGAGGCCAGGACTAGGGGACAGTGGAGAAGGGGAGAAAGGGAAATAGGACTGTGTGGAAGAGGAGAAAGGTGGGTAGGGAGAGAGAGGCTGTAGGTTTCGGGTAGAGGAGTCCACAAGTTGAGAAAGGCCCTGCGGGGGGCGCCCAGGGGGCACTGCGTTCTGTAGCAGCACCCGGTCCTTATTTTGAGGCAACATTGCCTTGAATCCAACAGGGACTGGGGCCACGAGACCAAGGACAGAGACCTAGCAGAATCAGGACAAGGGTCTCTGAGGCTAGTTGTGGCTGAGAATCAAGGAAGCCTTCTGTGTGCAGTGTGGCTCCAGCCTGATGTTGCTGTGGGCATTGGCAGCAGGAGGAGACACTGAGCTCTCTGGCACCGGGTCTCGAGGTGCTCAGCGGGGAGCCTAGGTTTAAGCTTGGCTTCTCACTTCTTTGCAGTCAGCCATTGACGAGGGATGTATGGGAATGAGAAATCAGAGCTGCCTTTTGGGAACTGAGGGGCAGCGGTGACTCTCTGGATGGAGCAGAGGAAGACACAGCTCATAGGATCTGCAGAGAAGGAGACAGAGCCCATGATATGGGGTATTGGTCCATTTCTGGCTCTGCATCTGGTGAAAGAAAGTTGCGGGGCCAAGCTTCAGGCTGGACTTACCAAGACCCTAAGTCTTTGTCACCTTTAGAGATGGAAGAACTGACAAAATACTCCCAGGGAGGTAAGAAATTGGGAGGAAAAGATGAGGGAGGAGAGAGAGAGAGGGGTGGGAGTTGGAGAAGGAGACGACTTTGGGGATGGGAACTGAGTGGAGTGTATTCTGGTTCTCTTGAGTTCTTACCAATGAGGATTCCTCTGGGCTGTTTCACAAGACACTTCAGCAAAGAGGGGACCTGGGAGAGAGAGGAGTTATCAAATGGTGAAAGGGCAATACACCTTCCTCTGCCTCCAGCATCTATCACCTTAAACTCACCCAGAATTCTGTCTGAATGTTGCCCTCAGTCCTCCTTCAGCCAGGCAGAGGTCTTCTGGTTACAGGGTTTTGTCCTCCTAATCCTGACTCAGAGATTCTGTAAGCATCCTGGTTTCCTGACAATCTGGTTCTCCTGACCGCTGGTCGCTGCTAATGCTGATGTCCTTTAGCTCAGCCTGGCCCTGGCTGAGATGGCTTACCACGCCCAGCAGCAGCAGCACTGGGGCCAGCTGGTAAAAGCCTCTGGGAGACTGGGACTTTGTCTAAGGGGCGGCGTTGCCGCCCCCAATGGGAGCTAGAGGCCCCATTCCCTAGGGATAGTTCTGCCTGGTATCAAATGCCTATGTCACAAAGGTCAGATGCTGACATCATAGAATCCTCTCCTCAAAACTCTGGGCTCTTCTCTCTCAGAGATCATGCAAAGGCTGGCCCCTGACAAAAAGTGTTAAGCAGGCAAAATATTTTGGTGTACTCAGTTTCCCCTTTACACTCCACCCCCGCAACCCCTCCCTGCCCATATACTTTACCCCTTTCGCCACTTCCTCGGTTAATTGTTCTCCCCACCTAGAAGCTATCTGATTAATTGTTCTCCCCACCTAGAGACTATCTGGGAGGAGCCCTCCCTTCTACTTGCTATTTTCCTTTGCTTTCTGAGGAGTGGCTCATACTCCATATCTTTCCCCCTCTAGGATCTACTTATTCTATGTTTTAAAAACCATTTCAGGGCTGGGGTTGTGGCTCAGTGATAGAGCATTTGCTTCGCACATGTGAGGCACTGGGTTCAATTTTCAGCACTACATAAAAACAAACATTTGAAGATATTGTGTACACATGTAACTTTCTCATTTGAAGATTTTGTGTACACATATAACTAAAAAATCATTTAAAAATATTTAATTTACACCTTTATTTAGATGTCATTCACATAGTATCCATCCATTTAACTCATGCAATTCAGTGTATTCTAGCATAGTCTCAGGATTTTACAACCATTGTCACAATCTAATTTTAGAACATCTTTATTCCCCACCCCCAAAGAAATCCCATATCCATTAATAGTCACTCACTATTTCTTACTGTCCTCAGCTCCTGAAAGCCCCAAATCTACTTTCTGTTCCTATGGATTTGTATATTCAAGACATTTTATATAAGCAAACTTTTCTGTCTGGCTTCTTTCATTTAGCATGTTTGAAAGGTTTGTTTATGTTGTATTATGTGTAATTACTTTATTTCTTTTATTGTCAAATAATATTTCTTTGTATGGATAGATCATACATTGTTTGTATATATTTGTTGTTTCTACTCTAGCAATCACAAATAATACTACTATAAATATTCTTGTAAAAATTTTGTGTGGACAGGTATTTTTGTTTTTTTGAGTCTATAACTAGAAACAAAATGACTGAGTCAGATGGTGAAGCTGTATTTAACATTATGAGGAAAGGTACCTAACCATCTTCCAAAATGACTGTGATATTTTTTGATCCCACCAGCAAAGTATGAATGATCTAATATCAACATACATTATTGCCTGTCCTTTTGATTTTAGCAATCCAAGTGGGTGTGAAGTGGTATCATATTATGGTTTTGATTTGCATTTTCCTAATGACTAATCTTATCTTTTCATGTGCTTCTGGGCTATTTATATTCAAATCTTTTGCTTATTTTTAGGGGTTTTTTTTGGTCCTATTGTTGAATTATAAGGTTCTTCTATATTCTGTATACAGGTCCCTTATAGGATATACAATTTACAATTATTTTTTCTAATTCTGTGAGTCCTTTTTACTTTCTTAATGGGTTATCTTTTTACTTTCTCATTTGATGAACATTTTTAAAAAATTTTTGTTTATTATTTTTATATTTTGTGGTACCTGAAATTAAACCCAGAAATTAAATATGCTAGGCAAGCACTCTACCACTGAATCACCCAGCCACTCACAAAAGTTTTTAAATTTGATGAACTCTAATTTATCTATTTTGTTTTTTGTTCTGCCCTTGGGGTCTTATCTAAGAAACCATCACTTAACCCAAGGTTAAGTGATTTGCTTTGTTTTTTTCTAAGCTTTTTATAATTTTAGCTCTCACATTTAGGTCTTGACAAAGATTCTTTGATTGGCCAAATTTTAGTCAGGCTTCTGAATCTTCTAGTCTCATCTGTTCACTTCCTTATAAAATCCAACTTTAGCAAAGAACCTTGCTAAATAAGTTTAGCTAGACTCTCCCCTCTCCTTGATATCTGATCATCCTGACTATTTGGTCACTTGAATATCTCCTCACCTTCCATCATACTCCAGGTGATGTCTAGTCATCCTTGCCTGTCTTCATCAAGAATCCTGTGAGGATGGTTTAGCCAGAATTCCCTATTCCTGATGTTTCCTCTTAGTAATTTTCCCTCTGCTTACCCCACACTGTGCTTTGACTATAAATCACCACTTGCTGTATTGGAAGTTGAGTCCCAAATACTTTCTCCACTGCAAGTCCTCATTACAATGGTGTCTATACCTGTAACAGTGGTCCTGATTAAAGTCTTCCTTTCTGTGTTTTAACAGTATCATTGAATAATTTTTTCTTTAACAGTCTATGACCCATTTGTATTAATTGCTTTATATAGTGAAAGGTAGGGGTCCAACTTCATTCTTTTGCAAGTGGATATTCAGTTGTTCAAACACAATTTGTTGAAAATATTATTCTCTCCCCATTGAATGTCTTGGCATACTTGTCAAATATCAGTTGACTATTAAATTAGTTTCTTGGTGTACCTGTACCAATTTACTTGATATTCAGTGACTTAAATAACAAATTCATCATTTTACAGTTCTGTAGATTAGAAGTCTAACATGGGTCTCATTGGGCTAAAATTGCAATGGCGGGTCTGCATTCCATTCTGGCAGCTCTAAGGGAGAATCCATTTCCTTGTCTGCTATGGCTTCTAGAGTTTGCCCGTTGTGATGGTTTAAATAAATACGTAAAAGGATTTCCTCCAAAGGTTCATGTGCTGGAAGCTTGGTTCCCAGTTTGGCAATATTGAGGTGGTAAAACTTTTAAGAGGTGGGACCTCTTAAAAAGGTAATTAGGTCATGGGGGAAAGGGATTCATACTGGTCTTGTGGAGTAAGTGAGTTCTTACCAGAGTAGGTTGTAGTAAAAAGACTAAGCTTGACCCCTGAATTTCTGTAGGCTTCCTGTATTACCATGTATTTTCTTCTGCATGTGTTTTTACCATTATGATTTTATCTTCCATGAGCCCCTTACCAGACACGAAACGGATGGGATCACCCAATCTTGGACCTACAGTCTCCAAAGCTGGGAGCTCAATATTCCTCTTATCTCTATGAGGTATCCAGATTCAGGTATTTTGTTATTGCCATAGAAAGTGAACTAAGACACCCACATTCCTTGATTTGTGATTCCCCTCTCACATCTTCAAAGCCAGCACCATATCTCTGTTTGTTCTTTTATAGTCACATCTCCCTCTCCCTCTAACTCAAACTCTTCTGCCTCTCTCTTCAACGTTTAAGGACACTTGTAATTACAATGGGCAAAGCCAGATTATGAGGGATAATTTTGTGTGTATGTGTGTGTGGTACTGGGAATTGAATCCAGGGGTGCTTTACCACTGAGCTATCACCAGCTCTTTTTATTTTTATTTTGAGAAAGGGTCTTGCTAAGATGCTGAGGCTGGCCTCAAACTTGAGACACTCTTGCCTCAACCTCCCGAGTTGCTGGGGCCACTGGCATAGCAGAAGGATAAGCTCTTATAAGTCAGTTTATTAGCAACCTTAATTTTTCCTTCCCACATAACCGAATATATTCACAGGTTCTAGGGATAAAAACTTGGAACTTTTTGGGTGGTAGTGGTGGGGCTATTATTCTGCTTAAATCTAGGGGTTTATTTCTGGACTCTCAATTAAATTTCACTGATCATATTTGTGGTACTGGACACTGAACCCAAGATCTCAAACATGTAAGGCAAGCACTCTACCACTAAGTTACTTGGCCCTTTTTAAATTTTCATTTTGAGACAGGGTCTTGCTGAATTGCCCAATGTGGCCTGGAATGTGAGCCTTCTGCTTCAACCTCCAGAATAGCTAGGATTACAAGCATGTGTCACAGAACCTTGCTCTATCGATCTTTGTGTCTGTCTTTAAGCCAGTATTTCACTGTCTTAATTCCTGTGGCTTTGTGGTAGGTTTTGAAATTGGGAAATGTGAGTCTTCTAACTTTGCTCTTCTTTTTAAAGATTGTTTTATCTATTATGGATCCCTTGCATTTCCATAATAATTTAAGAATCAACACGTCAATTTCCACACACACACACACACACACACACACGAAACAAAAAACTAACAAAAACCAGCTAGGATCTTGGTAGCTATACAATGAATCTATATATTTCTTTGGGGAATATTGCTATAAGAACAATGTTAAATATTCTAATTTGTGAATATGAGATGTTTCCATTTTTTTACATCTTTAATTTCTTTTGATGTTTTATAGTTTTCAGTGTACAGATCTTGAACTTTTGTTAAATTTTTTTCTAAGTATGATATTATTATTATTTTTTAAATGTTTATTTCTTTAGTTTTAGGTGGACACAGTATCTTTATTTTACATTTATGTGGTGCTGAGAATCGAACCCACTGCCTCACGCACGCTAGGTGTACGCGCTACCACTTGAGCCACATCCCCAGCCCATAAGTATGCTATTATTGTTGTTATTATTTTCTTTCATTTTTGGGGGGGTGGGTAGGTACCAGGGATTGAACTCAGGGCACTCGGCCACTGAGCCACATCCCCAGCCTATTTTGTATTTAATTAGAGATAGGGTCTCACTGAGTTGCTAATTAGCACCTTGCCGTTGCTCAGGCTGGCTTTGAACTCACAATCCTCCTGTCTCAGTCTCCCGAGCTGCTGGGATTACAGGCGTGCACCACCATGTCCAGCTATTATTTTCTTTTTACATTATTATAAGTGAAATCATTTTCTTAATTTCATGTTTTGGATTGTTTATTGATAGCATGTAGAAATATAATTTATTTTTGTATATTGATTTTGTATTGCTGATCTTATTAGTTTGAATGATTTTTAAAATAGATTCCTTGTGGTTTTCTAGATATAGAACCATGTTATCTGTGAAAATTGCTGAAAGATTGAAGGGTTAATGTCATTAATAAAAATTCTTTTTTTTTTTTTTGGTACTGGGGATCGAACCCAAGGATACTTAAGCACCGAATCATATCCCCAGCCCTTTTTTAGGGTCTCACTGAATTGCTTGGTGCCTTGCTAGGTTATTGAGGCTGGCTTTGAACTTGTGATCCTCCTGCCTCAGCCTCCCAAACTGCTGAGAATACAGGTGTATACCACCATGCCTGACTTAAATAAAAATTCTTAATACTACTTCTTCTCCACTTTGTAGTAAATCTGAATTCAGACTATCCTGGAGAAGACCACACTACCTGG